TAAGAGAAACATTTTCCTTAGTAAGCTACTGGTTTATTAAAAAAGGATCTAACAGGGGATCGGTCAGATGGAAATGGAAAGATACACAAGGTAGGTCTGGGGAAAGTGCACAGAGCTTCCATGCCCTCTCCCCGCCGGCCACTCTTCCCGAATCTCCCCCACCCAGAAGCTCTCCAAACTCCCCTCCAATGTGACTGGGGTCCTTATAAGATGGTCATGCGATGACACAGGAACACACAGGGAGAACGCCATGTGAAGGCGACAATGAAGGCGAAGATTCAAGTTATGCAGCCTCCATATAACTAAGGAATGCCAAACACTGGATTTCAGACATCTGTCCTGCAGAGTGACAGTAAATCACTGGAGTGGTACGCCACCCAGTTGGTGGCGCTGTGTTACAGCGGCCCTATGAAACTAACATGCCCCCCAATTAGATGTATTTTTGAACAAGAAAAAAGATGAGGATAAGGAGGGATCTCTCTACATTATATATCAAAACATTATACATCTATGTTTATTAAAACAGGGTGGTGCTGACACAAGGACAGACAGAAAGAATAATAAATCAATAAAGCGTCTAGAAATAGGTCCTTACTTTTATAGGGATTTAATATATGATAAAGATGGAACTTCAAATATTTGGGGAAGGATGGAAATTCAATAAATGGTCTGGGGACAACTGGTTTAGAACAAATGTGGGTGCATTTATACATATATTTCTGCATATGTGGATACAACATATATATATATAAATTAAGAGCAAATTTAAGAGATTTTCAAGGGATATTTAACTACATGTGATTTTTCCATCTTCAGGTGGTAACTAGAAATTAAACCCAGTTTAAGATACAAATCTTAAACCCAGATTAAGATGCAGGCCTTGAAAAGTTTTCCAAGGTTCTCACCAATGACAATGCTGTCAGGGGCCAATGGTCAGCTCCTCCTTCTTCACGTCATCTCACCTAACCAGGTAGAGACCTGGGAGGACAGAGCTGTAAGAGGAATGGGGCCTTGAGAAAGCAGGACTGTCTTTATGGCAACCCTGCCTGGCTCCCTGGATGTAACCCACACCCTCCCTAAAAATTAGGTCTTAGGGAGTCCAGGGTCAGATTCCTTCCCTGCAGGGGACAAAAGGAAAGGCCGCTGACCTGCTGTCTGGAGCTCTGACCCTTCCTCCCCGGTCACTGCAGTGTTCAGGGACACAGCTCCCATGTGGCAATCCAGACACAGGGTGGACGCCAAAGCTCTGGCCCTCCCATGACGGGTGACATCAAGTACACCAGTCTCCTCCATGTTTATCAATAAAAACCATACATAACACTTGTACAGCATTTTAAGTTTTTCAAAGTGCATTCACAAACTCTATGTCAAAGAACAGAGGTCAACTGCTCTGAATAACCCACAGAAAGTAGGGAACCAATTCCACAGCTACTTACAGAAGAGGCTTCAGAAATTTACCTACAAAACTAAACAAAAAGCTACCTCTAGAGGTGCGTTTAGAAGGAAAAAGGACTGGGTATCAGGAGACCTAAATTCTAGAGCCACTAAATTACTAAATCAGTTCTTATGCAATTTCCTACCAAAGTCTGGAGGGGCTGCCTCTCCTCTTTGACTATCTATCTGCCGCTGACCCTTCACAGCCAAAGGCCCAAAAGCCCCAAAAGCTCTGTCCTTGTACTCTCCCCGCTCACCAACCCAGAAGAGAGCGCCTTAAATCTGGGATGCACAGCCAGAACTTCTAACAGTGAGACAGCCCTAGGCAGGAATAACCAGAGAGCCGGGTTCAGGTTACCACTCCTCACAACACTCCGACACCAGAGGAACCCCACCCCCTAATCTCTGCCTTATTTCCCCCCCACCCCCGCCCCGCCTGCCTCCGCTGCTATCAATCATGCCAATGTGCTCTCTCAGGCCCCTCCCACCCCGCCCATCCCAGGGGATGGGGGCAGTCCCCAGCAGGGCTCACTCCCCAACTCCCACTGGAGTGCAAGGGTCAGTGAAAGAACGAACTCACCATCTCCTCCGAAAAGTGGGTTGTGCATTGTCTGGCAAGATCGCCCTTTGGATTCCCAGTTAGGGCACATGCCTGGGTTGTAGGCCAGGTCCCCGGTTGCGGTCTTGCGAGAGGCAACCGATGGATGTTCCTCTTCCTCTCTGCTTCCCTCCCTTCTCCTCTGTTTAAAAAAATAAACAAACAAAATCGTTTTTAAGAAAAGAACACTGTCAGGGTATCCAGATCCCCGCAAACCAGGAGATGCGCCTGCGCAAGCGACGACCTGGGACTCCATCGTCCAGCTCGCTCCCCAAGGCAGGGCGCCCTTGAGCCGTGTCTGCCGCAAGCCCCTGAGAGGCTTTCCCTGGTGGTGAGGGTTGCAAACCGACCTTACTCTTCTTTCTGGTTTAAGTGAAATGGAAGAAGGAAAAGAAAATAATCTGTTGCCGTAGGCAAATATGGATCCAAAGGGATGCAAACTCTTCATTAAAGTTTTCCTCGTACACAAAGGCAACACCTATTTGTTATATCGATATATCAATAGATGATTTATAAATAACCTTTTATAAATAACAGATGAGCAAGAGATGAGGAAAGATCCAAACTAAATGGAATTCCATAACAAAGAGGATAACTATGGAAGCCATAGTTTGTGTGTGTATACATATATATATTCTAAAAATAAATCTGTCTCTTTGTCATGAATAAGGGTGTGTGTGAGGAAGAGAAAGAAGAGGTGAGATATTGAATAAGGTCATAGTATGGAGGTACTTTTTTCTAGAGTTTTCTTTCTGTTAGTAATTTAGGCTATGTTCACTTTAATGCTACTAAAAATAGTGCTTTGATGAATCCTTGTAGATTAATTTGTGCCCTCCTCCACAACTGTTCTTGAGAATAAAGTCCAACAAATGGATTTAATTAAAAGGGAATGTACATAGCTAACTTTTATCTATACAAAAAATATATATAGGTTGTAAAGAATAGAGAATAAGGAAAAGGAAAAATAGCAAAATTAAAATCAGATTAAAAGCCCACTCTATGGTTGTGGGGCTGGTGCAAAAAAAAAAAAAAAAAAGTGAAGATATTAAGGAAAAAAAAACTGGCACAGACAACAGTATGGAGATTACTAGAAGGAAAGGGGGTGGGAGAAGGTAGAATATAAAGGGGAGATAAGTTGTGATGGAAGGAGTCTTGACTTTGAGTGGTGAACACACTATGCAACATACAGATGATGTATTTTAGAATTGTACACTTGAAACCTGTATAATTGTATTAATCATGTCACTGCAATAAATTCAATAAAAATTAAATAGGTTATTTCTACGCATATATATACAAATTATATAATTACATATGTTTAAGTATGTTGAAAATTAAAACAGGCCCTGGCCAAGTAGCTCAGTTGGTTAGAATGTTGCCCCGATAAGCCCAGGTTACAGGTTTGATCTCCAGTCAGGACACATACTAAAATCAACCAATGAACGCATAAATAGGTGGAACAAATAGATGATCATGTCACTGCAAAGGGACTGGGACCAAGGTGGGTCTGCTGTGGCATGTCCTGGAATGTGTGGCTTCTTGACTTCGTGCAGGGAAGGTTTCAAGACATGAGTCCAGGTGATTTTGAGACAGTGAAATAAAGGGCTTAGAATGGAAGAAGCAAAACACAACAGGAGTGAGCCTAGGTGGGGCTGCTTTTTAACTCACTGATGTTAGGTAAAGACAGCTCTCGGCTCCCCGAGTAGCAAGTCTCACTGGAACCCTCAGTGCTTAGGAGAAAGCAAAGGTCCAAGCCTGAGGAAGGTGCGGGCAATGCTCAAGGGAGTGTGTACTGGCATCCTTCGCCCTGAGGGGTTTTATCCATTTTCTAAAGGGAGGAATTTTAGGGAAGATTCCCTCTTTAAATGTGACAGAGTGGAAACAGTGAAACCATATAGACCTAGGGTTTTCTTTTAGGGAAGATTTTAAATTATAAATTCAATTCCTTTGTTATTGGGCTATTTGAGTATTTTACTTCTTCTGTACCCACTTTTGGTAACTCATGTAATTCAACGATATTTCCTGTTTAAGTTAGCGAATTTTTGAAATAAAGTTATTTCAAAATGTGTCTATCCAAAGATTTGTCAGCTGTACTGGTTATTTAAATGAATCACCTTTTGTCATCATTGACTTTTCTCGTTAGTGTTCCAGTCCCAGGATTGGTAAACATCTTCTGTGAAGTGCCACATAGTAAATATTTCAGGTTTTGTGAACCACATATGCTCCCTGCTGCAGTGTTTGTTTTACAATCCACTTTTTAAAAAATGATCCTAGTTTAAGGATTGTAGGAAAAAAGGCAGCTAGCCAGAACTGGCCTTAGTCTGACCCATTCTAATACTCTAATTTGTGCACTTACACTTATTATTTAGATCCTTCTACTTATTTTGGGGTTTATCACTCACATTTTTCTATCTTCATAAGGTAAAAGCTTAGATAGTTTACTTTTCCTCTTTTCTAATAAAATAGTTAAAACTATAAAATTTTCTCTTAAGCACCGCTCTAATAGCATCCCTAATACATTGATATACTGTTTTTATTTCAATATTATGTAATTTCTCTTGGGATTCTACTCCATGCAGGCTACCCCCAATACACTTGCATGCCATTTTGATGTTATATTCTAAGAATATCTGAAATAGGATAGAGCTCAACTGTGAAAAAATCTTTAAGTTGAAATAAGCATAACACCTAATAATTTAAGTGACCATCAGCATATAAATCTTTACATAAACATTAGCATCTCGATGACAGACATGATTGACATTTTAATCATTTAACCTATAAACCAACCTAAGGCATATTTTCTATATTATTAGGTAGTTCCATTTGTTTCAGCTTTTAACTCTGCCTAAAAACTTTGAAACATCCAAGAGTTTACGTACTGTGTAACGTTTCAAAGCCTGGGTATGAGTCATGATTTCTTAATACAATCTCTCAAATTCCAGTTGTTTAAAATGAGGATAGTACTATGCTCGCTTCAGCAGCACATACACTTCAATTGGAACAAAACAGAGATTACCATGTCCCTATGCAAGGGTGATACATAAATTCATGAAGTGTTGCAATTTTTTTTAAATTAACAACAGTATTTGACTCATAGGGCTCAAGAAACATCTATTAGTAATAGTACTACTACTACTAAAGTACAAATAAGGAAGTATGAAGTATCCTTTTTAATTGAATAAAAGCAAATAGGCTAATGTGTCAAATATATTAAGTGGCAAGTAAAAAAAATGTACAGGAACCCTGTTTCTTTAATGGTCATGGAATTACTACCTATGTGTAGGAAACCATAACATGGAAGGCACAAATATGAAAATAAAGATACTGAATCTTATAAGAATCTGAGACATGAAATGAAATAGATAGGGTATAAAGCTTTCTTTTTGCTGAAATCATGCACAGAATTAATGGGATGATAGTGGAGAGGGATAAATGCTAAAAACACAATGAATTCTAATGGTTTAACTCTCTCTATATATTAGTTGGTTTCATATGAGGCCTAACAGATAAACTGAACCTCAAGGAAAGTCTGAAAGACAGAGGTTTGACAAATTGTTATGGCTGTAAAATTTGCATTATCGTCTAGTTTCTAAGATGACAACATTGAAGGACAGGATACATATTTTAATTCCTGACATGTTTGTTAAAAAAATCTCATACATTTACATCCCAGCCCAACATTCATCTTCAAAAATGACTAACAAAAAGTATCTGCAATTCACTTCTTTTAATTTAAAAGTTAAATATTTTTTTTAGATCCTGATCAGGCCATTTAAGGAAATTGTTCTATTTTTTAAAAAATTAAATTAATAATCATGGTTATTATTCACTATTTTCAATTCTAAAACATTAATGTCTAAGTATTTGATCTAAAAAAATTTTAAATCAGGTTCAAAACGATATAGCAGTTTCACCTTCATTCAAGATTAGAGTTGAGCCCTGACTGGTGTGGCTCAATGGGTTGGCACTGTCCAACAAACAAAAGTCATTGGTTCAATTCCCTGTCAGGGCACACTCCTGGGTTGCCAGCCAGGTCCCCCATTAGGGGTGTGTGAGAGGCAACAGATTGATGGTTCTCTCCTTCTCTTTCTCTTTTCCCTTCCCTCTCTCTAAAAATAAACATTTTAAAAAATAGATGTAAGAGGGTTTTTCGATAGCAATCCCTCTTTTCATAGTAACTTGACAATAAATATTTATAATATATAAGACTAGGTTACTGTTTTTAAAAGGAAAGTCTACCTTGAATTGTGACAGAATTTGTAAATTAAAAGTTATTTGTGACAATAAAATGACAGCTCAATAAAACACTTAATTTTTTAAAAACTAAAAACTAACAGTATAACTTCAAATGTTTAGGCTGTCACACAGAAATGTACAGGGCAGCAAAAACAGATATACTTGAAACAGTATCTCAAAGACATAGTAGCCCCAACAGATTCCACAGATAACCTTTAAAATGCATGTTTCTTGTTAAATTATTCAACATAATGTAGAAACAGAATATAGAATACCATGTGATGCTCAAACCAACTCAATTCTATCTGGAGGTGAAGTGACATGGCACTCAGCCCTCCATGTCCCCAGAGGAACACTCTGGGGGCTAAGAAGTTGGCCTGAATCCCAACTCTCCACTTGCCATGTGGCCTTTGCAGGGTCAGGGAACATCTCTTGACCTCCACATGCCTCATCTATAAAATGGTAATGCCAGTCTCATACATTTGCTGCAATGATTAAATTAAAAGGCACATGTCAAAATGCTTAATAGAATGCTTGTATGGTAGAAACACACAATGAAGGAAGCTTTTAAAAAATTCAATTCTGATCATCACAAGGATACAAAGATCCTAAATATACATAACAGAGCTTACATAAATACTATACTGAGTTGAAAACTAACAGGCGTATGAACAGGAATTCCTTGTGTAGAACTACCTGTCATGTGTTAGAATTGCAACAATGTCTACAACCACTTCGCTGTCCTCTCAATCTTGTGTTATTTGATGTCTTTCTTTTCTCTGTATGCTTTAAAGTATTTAAGTCTACCACTAACTACTGAAGTCTTTATACATTGGTTTCATCCTTTATTCTATGCACATCAAGAAAGTGAGGAAGATTTATGTGTAATACTTTTTTATATTTAAATAACAAATCATATTGCTTTTGTAGCTACAATTTATCATTTTACACCTTAAGATGTGGGGAAAATGATGTCATTTAATGTGGAGAGGTAAGGCAGGTGTAAATACCCCTATTCAGTTCCCACTAATACAGTCTGGGTTTGAATGCCATTCCTATGCACTTGCAGGATGATTACACTTGGTTGTCTTATTGTTGTCCTGATAAATCAATTGACTTTCTCATTTTAAAAAGTGTCCTTTACAATAAACAAATCAATTATGTGTAATTGAGATTTTTCTAGCATACTATAAATAACTGTTACTGTTAGGACTGAACCAAAATGTGCAACAGCAGTGTTCTGTTTTGGGTTTTGTGTATGGTTTTTTTGAAATACAATTTTTCACACTTGCTTCTTAGTATGAATTTTGTTGTGCTTAATAATTCCAGAGCTGTTATTGAAGGCTTCCCATGTAAATTCATATAATTTCTAGCCTATATAAGTCCTATGATCTGCAATAAAATTTTGATCACTGAATTAAAGTTCTCTCATTCAATTGAAAGGGTTTCTGTTCAATATGAATTCTCTGATGAACTATGAGAGTAGATTTCTTGCTGAAAGCTCTTCTACATTCACTACATTCATAGGCTTTTTCTCCACTATGTATTCTATGATGTACAGTGAGGTGTGACTTCATGGTAAAAGCTTTTCCACACTCACTGCATTCATATGGTTTAGTTCCACTATGGATTCTCTGATGCACAATGAGTTGTGATTTTTGGGTAAAAGCTTTTCTGCATTCACTGCATGCATAGGGTTTCTCCCCAGTATGAATTCTCTGATGTACGACGAGCTGTGACTGCCAGACGAAGGCTTTACCACATTGATTGCATTCATATGGTTTCTCCCCAGTATGAACTCTCTGATGTACACTAAATGGTGACTTTTTGATGAAAGCTTTCCCATATTCACTGCATTCATAGGGTTTCTCCCCTGTGTGATTCCTCTGATGAATAGTGAGGCTTGACTTTTTGATGAAAGCTTTCCCACATTCACTGCATTCATAGGGTTTCTCCCCTGTGTGATTCCTCTGATGAATAATGAGGCTTGACTTTTGGATGAATGCTTTCCCACATTCACTACACTCATAGGGTTTCTCTCCTGTATGAGTTCTCTGATGTACAGTGAGATGTGACTTCTGAGAAAAGGCTTTTCCACATTCATTGCATTTGTATGGTCTCTCCCCAGTATGAATTCTTTGATGTACAATGAGTTCTGACTTTCCAGTGAAGGCTTTTCCACACCAAATACATTTATATTTCTCGATGATTAGAATTTTTGGTGGTGCAAAGTGGTGTGAACTGTGCATGAATGCCGTGATGTATTCATTTGCTGTGTTCGGATGAAATACTTTCCCCAGTGTATTACATTCAAGGTCTAGCTCCTTAGTCTCTGACTCACTATTAATGAATGTGCCTTGGTTCAGAAACTTGTCTTGGTTTTCCTGGTGATTTACATCACCTCTCAGTTTCCTGTCTTCAAAAATTGAGTATCCTATCATGTTATAACGTATCACTTCTTCAGAAATGATCTTCTGTGGAGTTAATTCTTTCATTTTGGGTCTAATTTCAAAGGCTGAAAAAAAAACCAAACGTAATGATGTTACTTAACCTTTGAACTTTGAAAAATATGAAACAAAAACACAAAAGTTCTTCATTTTAATGGGAACAGAAAATCTGATAATGACTATGGTCAGCTTCAAAATTTAAGAGTATGATCTTAAAACCCAAAGACAGAAGAACAAACAGACATTAAAAAAAGAAAAGAGTGGGAGGGAGAAGTGGAAAAAGAAGAGCTGATAAACTTAAGGGTCCACATCATGGTTCCACATGGGCCCCTACACTTCCACCCCACTCCCACTCTCCCACATGGCTCTGTGAAGAGCAAAGGCAGACCAGAAAGTAGCTTCAGGAAAGACACAGGAAGGGTGCCAGCAAACAGAACTGAGAGTAAGCTAAAGTGATCATCATAAAGACTAAACCCACACTATATATAAAAATACTGTATAAGTAAGCGGACAGAGTAGAGCACGCTGCAGAAAGGGGGTTTCACAGGACTATACCTGCATCTTAGTGTCAGATGACCTGAGAAGGGCATGGAATGGCCCTTCTTAAAAGGGACACTCCTGAGGTAGAAGAACAGGAGGCCTCAGAGGAAGAAAAAGGCAAAAAAGAAAGAAGACACACTATTGGGTGGCAGTGATTGGAAAGAAAAGAAAAAGGAGGAAATTCAGGGCCCTGGAAGTAAAAAGAGAACTACAAAACCAGTAAACTCAAAACTCCTCCCCAATCACAAAAAGGAAAAAAGGGAGTGAGGGATCCTGCTAAAATACCTGGACTTTGCTATATTAGTGGAAAAGAACTCCATTAAATTAGAATCTTGTATCATTATACGATAAAAATTAACAGAAGTAAAGTCCATAGAAAACTACAGAAAAATCAGGAAATGAATTTGTATAGAAATCAACAGAGGACACTGTCCTCTGAAAAAAACAAAAACAAACCAAAAAAATCTAGCCACGAGGCAGAAGAAAATTTTGTCTGAACTCCAAATAGAATTAAATACACTCAAACAAGCATGAGGACATGGAAAAACACCATGAAATAAAACTTAAGAAAAAATTAAATGGGAAAAAAGGGGAGAAATGAAAATGAAGTAAATAAACTCAGGAAAAAAGTGGAAGATGACATTATAAGATGCAGGCAGGAGGAATACACTCTAATGAAAATTTAATAAGGAACATTGAAAGAAGGCAGGAAAACAACGAAAATAATAAAAACAAAATAAAGAAGCAACTAAAAATGGTCATAGAGAAAGTAATGGGAAAGGAAGACAGGCAAAGAAGGAATAATATTTCCATTATTAAAGTGCGGCAAAAGCCCTGACCAGTGAGGCTCAGTTCCCTGGGCATCCCTCAAAGCAAAACGCTGCTGGTTCTATTCCAGGTCAGGGCTCACGCCTGGGTTGTGGATCCAGTCCCTGGCTTGGGTACATGTGAGAGGCAACCAATTGATGCTTCTCTCTCACATCAATTTTCTCTCCCTCTCTTCTTCTCTACCTTCCCCGTTCTCTAAAAATAAATAAAATGTTTTTTTAAAGTCCTGAAAAAACTTAAAAAACAAAAGATTGTAACTCCAGGACATTTCAGACTGAAATGAAGGTAAGACAAACCGAAGCGCTAAGAAAGAATATGAATATCATTCAATAACTTTGAAATATAGTATATCTAATGCCTCGATGGCCTGGATGTATAAAGAGAGGAGTATAAGTCCATTTGGGGAGAATGGGTGCTGAGGTTTCCAGCCAAAGGGAGGCTAATTAATTAAGAAATGTCCTAAATGACGTGGACATAAATGAGATCCAAAGTACTAGAAAGAGGGTTACCTCTCTACAGTCAAGCAAATAAATAAATAAATAAAAGGGTCGTATAGGTGTTTAATATGTATTAGTATCATTTAGGTATTCAACAATCCCACAGCCATCTATGGTCTTCAGCCATTTTTAAATATCTATGGCTTTAAAAAATGATTTTCTAAAAAATATTTCAAGGATAGACATCTCCTTAATTCAATACAAACCTTATATCCCTGCCTCCTCTATGCGATATTCTCACTTACCTGGATAGGTCCAACTTGAGATTTCTTCCTCCTCCATCCATGGTTCTCCTTGCTTCAATATTTTATCTGACTTCAGAGACTGATACACTGTTTATGGGAAATGACATAGGACTTGAGCATTAGTGGACAACCAACCATCCTAGAACTCCGGCCCATTACATCATGTACAAGAATGGCCGAAATTAAAAAAACTAACATCACCAAAGCTTGATAGAACTCTCATACATTCCTAGTAGGATATAAATTGGTATAACCTGTTTGGAAAACTATCTTTTTGTATCTACCAAAGATAACTATGCATAGGCCCTATGACCCAGAAATTCTATTCCTATATATATACCTAATAGAAGTGAAATCCTATTTCTACCAGAGAATATGCATAAGAATATTCATTAAAAAAAAACAAACAACAAAACACAAAGATCTTCCTAACAGTTTTATTCATAACAGCCCAAATCTAAAATAACTCAAACAACCATCAAAGGCAGCATGGATCAGCTGATGAATTACTGTCTAGTCATTAAATAAGATGTGATGCAATAAGAAAAAGGATCAAACTACTGCCACGTGCCAAAACATGGTTGAATTTTACAGATGTTATATTCAATGAAAGATGCCAGACAACAAAAACTTATATACTGTGTGATTAGACTTACATGAAGTTGAAGAATGAACAAAATTTACGGGACCAGAAGCCACAGGTCGCTGTCTCTAATGGAGGTAAATGGGAGACTGCTGGGACACTAGACATGTTCTAGAGCTTCATCTGGGTAGTGGCTAAGTAAGTGTGTACTTATGAAAAACTATATTAAGCTGTGTACTTACTATACCCATTATATTTCAATTTATAAAAGCTAAGAACTTGGGCCCAGGCCATTGTCTTTAGTCTCCAAGTAATGAGCAAGACTCAGTTCCCATTTTCATCCAAACTCACCAGAAAAGTAGAAGTATAGTATCGGGTACTCAAAATTAATATTCTTTTGACCTTTATGGCTTGAAATGAAACTCATTAAGCATTCGGAGACAAAACAGTTTTTAGTAAACAAGAAAGGAAAGGCAATCATTTGGGTGCTACGGTGGGTTTAATAAATGTCCATGAATTCTTTGACACTCTTTCATTCAAAATGGAGAGCTTAATTCTCCTCCCCTTGAGCACAGGCTGTACTTAGTAACTCACTTCTAATAAACACAATAAGGTAAAAGTGATAATGTATGATTTTGGGGACTTGGTCATAAAAAGCGCTATGACTTTGGCACTGCGACTTCCTCCTAGCGTCTCTCAGATCGGCCTAGCTGGGGGAAGCTTGCCATGTGGTGAGAACAAGCTCACACGGTAAGGAGCTGAGATCTCCTTCCATTCACTGAACAATAAGGAACTGATGGCTCCTATCAATAACCACATTAGTGAGTCATCCTGGAACTAGACCCTAGACTCCCAGTCAGGCTTTCAGATGCTGCAAGCCCTGCCGATATCTGACTACAGCCACATGAAAGCCCGCACACCAGAACCACCTAGCTCAGTCTTTCTAAGTTCCTGACCTACAGGAATTGTTTGTTTTAAGACACTAAATCTTGTAGTAGTTATTATGCAGCAATAGGTAATTAATACCAACCAGTACCTTCTGAGGAAAGATGTCCTTACCCACGGAAATAAAGTTGCTATAGGTCTCTAGCATCACATCCCTGTACAGGCTTCTTTGAGCAGAGCCCAGTTGCTGCCACTCCTCCTGAGTAAAGTCCACAGCCACATCCTTGAATGACACAAACCCCTGTAACAGGACATTCCTGTTCAATCTTAAGTGAAAAGTACTGAATAATGTATTTAAAAATGTGTGAGAAATAATTGCTGTTTTCATCATGCAGAGTTCAGCAGGATAAATTAAAGATATTACTATGGGGCTAATTTTTTTTAATCCTCACCCAAGGATATGTTTCTTGATTTTAGAGAGAGGGGAAGGGCAGGGGGTGGAGAGCAAATCATCGAACGGCTGCCTTCTGCATGCTCCCCGACCAGAGACCAAACTGGAAACCTCTGGGTGCGTGGTAAAACACTACAACCAGCCCAGCCACCCAGCCAGGGCGCTATGAGGCCAATTTTTTATTTTTTATTTTTATTTTTAGAAAGAGGGGAAGGGAGGGAGAAAGAGAGGGAAAGAAACATGAACGTGACAAACATTGATCAGTTGCCTCCCATAGGCACCTGACCAAGGAGTGAACCTATAACCCAAGCATGTGCACTGAGTGGGATTCAAACAGGCGACCTTTCACTTTGCAGCACAATGTCCGACCAACTGAGCCACACCGGTCGGGGGCCGAGGCCAATTTTAAGTTCCATTATGTGGATGAAGCAAAACTCCTATTATAAAAACTTCGCCATTGAGAATCATTCACTCTTTCCGTCAATAAGCATTTATTCAGCACCTATGTGACCAGCGCTATTTGGTTCTCGGAATACAAATATGAATAAAATACTGGAAGTTTACAGAATAGATGATGGAGGCAAACAAGTAAATATATAAATGCTATAAGGTGTTAAATGGGTTGTGCTAGAAATAGGAAAGAAAGGGTAATTCTATTTGGGGGTGCTGAGTTGGGCTCTGTAGAAGATGTAAACTTATGCAAAATAGTGAAAAGTGCACATGTAAAACTGTAAAAAATGTAACACAACTTGCCAGGATTCTAGGGTGAGGGAGCACGAAACAGATACAGGCAAATGAAGGCATCACATTAGCGACAGCCACGGAGAGGTGCGAAGTGCTGTGCTGAACAGAGGGCGTGCCGCAGTGCAGGCTCACAGACAAAAATACCCGAGTGATCTGAACATTTGATGAGAAATGGGACAGCAACGTTATTTTATAGGACCTCAACACAAAATATTTACTAATTATACTGTGGAAAAAAGTAACTCTGTGAGGGGACCAGAGGGGCCCGCCTGAGTCAGCGAGGAGACAGATAGGCGGTGCCTCCAGAAGGAGAGAGCAGGGCCTCCTGCCAGGGGCGGAGGACCTCAGGCTGGCCAGGGGCACATGAGACAGCCGCAGTGCCGGCTCACGGGGCAGGGGTAACTGAGGACCACCGGGACTACAGGGGACATAGCAAGGTGGTCCCTGTGGATGGAGCAGCTTGTTCTCAGGCAGGCCAGGAGCAAGTTCTCTGCCCTATCCCCCAACAATTCTACAAGTCTATGGTTGTCCCCCAAGGAAAAACCTAAAGCAAACAGATACTGAGCATATCTGTAAGACAACGTTTTCAATGTAAAAGAATTTAATACTTTATAATGCTTTAATAAAAAAAAAATGGAGATCTTATTTACAGAGGATAAGAAGTAGAAAAAAGCCATGGCTGGTGTGGCCCAGTGGGTTGAGCGCCCACCTGAGAACTTTAAGATCACTGGTTCAATTCCCAGTCAGGGCACATGCCTGGGTTGCAGGCCAGTCCCCCCATTGGGGGAGTGCAAGAGGCAACCTATCAATGTTTCTCTCCCACACAATGTTTCTCTCTCCCTCTCTCATCTCCTTTCCCCCCTCTAAAAATAAGTAAAATCTTAAGAAGAAGGAGAAGAAGTAGTAGAAGAGTGAAAAAGGGGGAGACTGCCAAATACTCCGTCCACAGTCGGAAGTCAGAAGGAACCGCATCGGCCCTGATTTTAAGGTTCAGAAATGTTTCTGAAAAACTTTAAGGCAACTGCTGGTGAAATTAAAAGCAGGACATGCACTTTCAAAGGCTCTGCAGCAGACAGAAGCTAAGGAACTCTAATTTCCAGGGCTAAGCAAAAGAGCGTAGAGAAGGAGAGCACTGGCGAGCGGCACCAGGCTAAGCATAGCGTAGACCACACAGCTACCAAACGGGCCACACAGGAGTGAAGGGCACAGCTGAACACACACCCCAAACCCGAAGAGCATGGCATCCGAAAGAAAAGACTAATAGGAAGAGAGAGAAGAGAAGAGGAAGCCAGCGTAGCTTTCTCTGGTTGAGAATTACATGTGACGTTGTGCCCCTCTTTGCTGATTTGAAGTGATACGAAATGTTTCACATGTTCCAGAGACCACCAGGAAAGCCACTGAGAAAGAAGCATGAGGAGTCTCTACCCCATGAGTCTCTGCATCAAACAGACTGAGTCGTGATTGTCCCCCACAGAAAAGGGTCGTGTAAAGGACCAGGGAAGCCAATGGAGTTTCCAGGGCTCAAAAAGGCCAATGGACATCACAGAAAGAGGCAGGAGGGGCGCAGCTGGCCCGGCCCAGCTGACGTGAGGACAGTAAGGCAAGCGACTCATTTTTAGTACATTTCCCCAAAAGTGTTACAAATAAAAGTTCTACTTACTGCTCTTAAAAAAAAATTGTAAAAAAGTAAAAATAAAAAAATTTGAAATGTAAAAAATGAATAGTATGTTCCCAGTAAGATGTGGAAGGGGGAGAAAGATCATTACAGATGGAGGGAGGGGTGAGTAAAAAGGCCTGGAGACATGAAAAAGAACGTGGAAAACTCGAGGAACTACGAGTACTTCGGTATAATGCTCTCAAACATCAATTACTCATATAGTGCCTTCACAATTTTTAGAATATCTGCATATCACCTGTACTATTACTGACTTAATAGTTTTAACCCAACTCAACTTTTTTTACTTAAATAAATGTATTTTGAAAGGAAACCACTAAAGAGAAATGAAAATACCAACAAAAATCTACAAAGCAAGTATATACTGGTGAAATGTGATGTATGAGTTTGCTTTAAAATACTCTAGAGAACAAATAAAGGAAGATGTGAAACCTGTAAAATATGAATAATTGTTGAAAATATATGAGGAGGTTTGTTATACTGTTCTCTAAATTTTTATGTTTGATTTTTTCCATGAAGAATACTTTTAAAAATTAAATAGAAACTGTTTTAAAGTTTAAATTAAAATAAAAACAATAAAATGTAAGCGTATTTGCCCTGGCTGCTGTGGTTCAGTGGGTTGAATGCTGGCCTGTGAACTGAAAGGTCACTGGTTCAATTCCCAGTCAGGGCACATGCCTGGGTTGCAGGCCTGATCTCCGGTCGGGGACATGTGAGAGGCAACTGATTGATGTTTCTCTCCCTCTTTCTAAAACATAAATAAAATCTTTTTTTAAAAAAGTAAGCAATATTTAATCTAATCAATTTATTTTTTGAAATGTGTACATAGAGATAATGAGATGAAATAATTTATGATCAGTTAGTAATAAAGTGCTACTGAGTTCACTATTGCTTACTTTTCAAACAATGGTTAAGTTCTACATCAGTAACAAAATTCTATTTTTAAGCTTGATGTTAATCAAATGCAACCAAGATATATCTGAAAGACAGTGTCTAAGGTAAGGAGAGAAGGAATCAGCTAAGAGTTCTTCCTTTTTGGTTTAAGGAACTGGCATCACACTGAAGTCCAGAAGACCAAGGCAGGTTTCGATAGAGGGGAAAGGTGGAATTAAGAATTCTATTTGTCCAACAGTAAAGGACAAACAATCTATTAAAATCAAGCAAGTGACTTGAACAGATATTTCTCTAAAGATGATATGCAAATACACAGCAAGCACATGAAAAGATGCTCTACCTTATTAGTCATTAGGGAAATGCAAATCAACATCATAATGACATACCTCTCTACATCTAATAGGATAGTTATAATCAAAAAAATGGAAAATATAAGTTTTAGTGAGAATGTAGAGAAATTGGAACTCTCATACATTACTAGTGGCAATGTAAAATAGTGCAGCTGCTGTGAAAAACACTTTGGCAGTTCCTCCAAGGGTTAAATATGGAATTACCATATGACCCAGCAATTCCACTCCCCAATATATACCCAAAAGATCTGAAAAACAGATGCTCACATACTTGTATGCCAATGGTCACGGCCAAAAGATAGAAACAATTCAAGTGTCCATCATCAAACAAATGTATAAACAAAATGTGGTATGTCCACATGATGGAACATTATTTAGCCACAAAAAGGAATGGAATTCTGATACATGTTATAACATGGATAAACCTTGAACACTTGCTGGGTAAAATAAGTGAGACACAGAAGAACAAATACTATACAATTTTATCTAAATAAGCAAATTCATAGAGTCAGAAATTGGTTCTGAGATTACCAGGGGTTGTGAGTGGAAGAAAAGGAGTTATTGCTCAATGGGTACAGAATTTCAATTTGGGGTGATAAAAGAGTTTTGGGAAGAGATAGTGGTGATGGACACACAAATGGTAAATACAATCAATACCACTTAAAAATAGTTAAAATGGCAAATTTTGTTATATATAGTTCACCACACAAAAATTCTAGTTGCCCAAGTTAAGTTCAAGGTATCTATTATAGGAGATATGCAAGTAGCAACAGGTAGGCAACTGGACCTCAGCGGGACCACAGGCGCTCAGAACAAAAACCAAGAAGCATGGACTTCAAGCTGAGAAAAGAGGGAATGTAAGAAGTGGGCAGAGCCCGGACCCTTGTGGCTCAGTTGGCTGGGCACCATTCTGGGAAGGGAAATGTTGCCCGTTCAATTCCCAGTCAGGCACATGCCTGCACTGCAGGTCTGTCCCCAGCTGGGACACGTATGAGAGGAACTGATAGATGTTTCTCTCTCACATCGATGTTTCTCTCCCTCTCTCTCCCTCCCTTACTCTCTCTCTAAAAATAAATAAATAAAATCTTTAAAAAGAATTGGGGAGAGGGATGTAATAGACACTGAAAAAAATGGAGGAACAATGGACAAGAGGTCTGAACGGAAGTGAAGATTTGCCAGAATCAAGGTACTAAAGTAAATGAGCTAGAAACATAGAAATAATGGCTAGAAAATGAAATGCTTGGAGTTAGTAGTTATTGGTAATTATAAATCTAATCTATAACTGTGGGAGTTGGTGGCTGCGATGGAGTGGAGGAAAATACTCTCTGGAATGAGGAGTTACACTGGTACCACTCATACCAATAGTACTGTGATACTGTGATTTATAATTAGAATATATTTAGTTTCCATCCTGGTTTTTGGCAGAGAGCTCCTAAAACCCTGGAATTTCCTGATGAAAGAAATAAAGGTGTCTTTTGTTATGCTAATAAAGTGACTTTTGGGAAACACCTAAGGATGGGGGCTGGTTGCTAGTGAACAGAGGACTGGAACTTCCGGTCACACTCCCTGATTTCCAGGGAGGGGAGTAGGGCTAGAGGGTGAGTCAATCCCCAAGGGCCAATGACTTAATCAGCCACGCCTATGTAATGAAGCCTCCACAAAGACCCAACAGAAGGGGCATTCAGAGAGCTCCGCCGCCCGAGCCAGAGTGCGTCCACGCACTCTCTGCCCGGCCCCAAACGCCACGAGACAGGCCTCCTTTGTTCCAGACCTCACTACGTGCATTCTTCACCTACCCGCTGAATTGTGTCTTTTAATAGCCTTTGTAATAAACTGCTAATCTGGCCAGTAAACTGGGTTCCTGAGTCCTGTGAACAGCTCTAGTAAACTAATCAAACCAAACAAGGGGACTGTGAGAACAACTGATTTAGAGCCAGTCAGAAGCACAGGTAACAACCCGGACTTGCAATTGGCATCTGAAGTGTGAGGGGAGAAGGACTGAGCCCTTCACCTGCAGGATCGGATGCTACCTCCAGGTACATAGTGTCAAAGTTGAGCTGAACTGTAGAACATCCAGCTGGTGAAGAATTGCTTGGTGGTTGGGGGGGAAGAATGCATTGCAGTTGTGTGCAGTGTTACAGGGACCCAAACTTTATAACCCAGTAGTCCCCAAACTTTTTAAATTGGAGACTGTAATATTGTAATATAATAAAGAATATATATTTTGGTCTTTATCCCTGGCTCCTGGGCAGAGTTCCTAAAACTTTATAATTTCCTGAGTAGCAAAGGGGTTAGGAGCATCTTTTTTTCTGATATTTGGTCTTTGACTCTGGTTCCTGACACACAGCTCCAAAAATCCTGGGAATTTCATGGGTTTTAGGAGTGCCTTTTGTTCTAATGAGGCAACTCTTGGTGAGATATTTTTCAGTTAAAAATAAAAAAGCATGCACATCAAGAATCTATGCCTTTTAAAAAACATAAATTATATATAAGCACTTCAATACTAAGATATTATGGTCATTAAAAATATATATAAGTAGAAGTTCTTGTCTTTTCACCCCAACCCTCCAGTGGATCATCTTCCCCCACTAAGGAATGTATGCTCCCCACTGTGAAGATTTCTATACTGAAGCTCTATGCTACATAGTGGGTATAACCAATGGAACATTATAGATAAAAATTAAATAATGTACACTTTCAAATAAAAACATTTAAAGCTGTATGGCAATCACAACCACTAAGATACTGGCCATTAGTATTTAGCTGAATGATACCAACAGATATGAGCAAATTTACTTGATCTCCACTATCCACCAAGTATGCTCACTTTGTACACACTTGGAGACTCTTAACCTATTGCATTTTATTTTTTTATCTTCACCCAAGGACATTTTTTCATTGCTTTTAGAGAGAAAGGAAGGAAGACAGGAAGGGGGAGAAATATCGATGGGAGAAAGAAGCATTGACTGGTTGCCTCCCATAAGCTCATGAACCGGAAATCGCATGAACCAAACCACGGACCAAACCCTCAACCTAGGTTTGTGCCCTGACCGGGAATTAAACATACAACCCTTCTGTTAAGGGACAGCACTCCCACCAACTGAGCCACACTAGCCAGGACTGAACCTATTGTCTTTTACAGAAAAGAGAAATACTGATTACTTTATTTATTGGTCAAAAAAGGCAAATTAAAATTGATACTATTATTACCTTTAATGACATAAATCCCCTGGACCAATTTCACAAAATCCCAGGGCTGAGAAATGCTGATCCAAAAATTACACATTTTACTCATGGATCAAGGCAGGCTGTTTAACAGCTGTGTACTTGGACCTCATGATTTTACTGCCTAGAAATTGAATTCTACCTTGTTATTATGCCCTATACTTATTATGAAAAATAGTTTAAGAAACATCTATGGAGAAACCTATTATGGAATTTATCATGGATGCGTAAGTGTTAGGGACATTGTCTGTTACATCGTATGTATGCAAATCCATCAAGAAAATAACTTCAAACCTAAATACCAAAAAACAAAATCTTTATTTCCCTCAAGAAATTAGCACATTTAATATATAATTAGTACATTTAATGCAGATATGCTAAATTTTAATTACCTACCAAAGATTCTATAGCTTTTATGACTATATTCTAAGTTTCCTTGGTCTAGATATTTTCTGATCTCTATTTACATTTTTCATTAAACTGAATTAATTTCTAAAAACTGTCTCAAATACAGTGGAAAATAAAACAGGGTATAAATAACATACTTACCTGAGACTTAGTCATTTTCTGTTGCTCTTCAGGCGGATATCTGTAAAGACAGATCTGGGATGAGCAGGGAAGGGATGAAAAGAAGGGAGCCTTCAAAGCTTGGGAATCTGGGCCTGCCCTGGGATTCTCAGAAGCAGGAGCCTAGAAATTCCTAGGATCAACCACACAAAAGACTACCCTTTGAAGACTGTCTCTTTCAAAGGTTCCTTTCGGAGAGATCACTGTGATAATATAAACCTATTAACTTACAGTTCTGAGATCAAGGCATGATATGTTTTTCTTCTGAGGATGTGAATGTATTCCATTACGTTTAAATCTTTTCTCCCCTCGCCATATTTGACAAACCCACAGCTAACATACTCAACTGTGGAAAACTGAAAGTTTTTCCTCTAAGATCAAGAACAATATAAGGATGCCCACTCTGACCACTTTTAATCAATACAGTCCTGGAAGTCCTAGCTACAGTAATTAGACCAGAAAAAGAAGTAAAAGACATCCAAATTGGAAAGAAGTAAAACTGTCATTGAATTGAGATGGCCTGTAAAAACTCCATGAAAAACTATTAGAAGTAATAAATTAATTCAATAAAGTGACAGGATACAAAATTAATATGCAAAAAATAAGTTGCATTTCTATATACTAATAAGAAGCTATCAGAAAGAAAAATTAATCCCATTTACAGTTGTATCAAAAAGAATAAAATATCTAACAATAATGTAACCAAGCAAGTGGAAGACCTGTACTGTGAAAATCATAAGGCATTTAAGAAAAAAATTGAAGCTGACACAAATCAATGAAAAGATATACCACACTCAGGGGTTGAAAGAATATTAATATTTCCACTCTAGCCAAAGCAATTTACAGATTCAATGAAATCCCCATCAAGATACCAATGGCATTTTTCATAGAACTAGAACAAAAAATCCTAAAATGTGTATGAAACCACAAAAGACCCCAAACAGCCAAAGAAATTTTGAGAAAAAACAAAGCTGGAGGTACTATGTTCCCTAATTTCGAACTATATTACAAAGGTAAACACTCAAAACAGTACAGTACTGTCACAAAAACAGACACAGAGATCAATGAAATAGAATAGAGGGCCCAGAAATAAATAAATTCAATTAATCTATGACAAAGGAGGCAAGAATATACAATGGGTTATAGACCATCTCTTCAGTAAAAGGTATTGAGAAAATTGAACAGCTACTTTCAAAAGAATGAAACTGGGCAACTCTTATACCATGCACGAAAATAAACTCAAAATGCGCTGAAGACTTGAATGTAAGACCTGAAACCATAAAACTCCTAAGAGAAAACATAAGCAGTAAGCTCTTTGCTTTTCTATGCTTTTGGACCAGTCTCCTCAGTCATGGGTTACAAAAGCAGAAGTAAACAAATGGAATTACATCAAAAGAAATAGCTTTTGCACAGAGAAGGAAGCCATACACAAAATAAACAGGCAACCTACTGAATGGGAAAAGATATTTGCAAATCGTATATCCAATAAGGGGTTAATATCCAAAAAATATTAAGAACTTAGACGACTTATCAAAAAAAAATTTTTTTTTTAATGTTACAGAACGAAAGTGTTCGGCTGCCCTTCGCCTCCAGTAGGCAAATTCTAGTGGCAGAGACTCTAGTGTAGATTTTTTTTATTCAAATGATGCATGATCCGGGAGAACGGCCGACTCTTTACTCAAAGCCTATCCTCTCCGCGTGAAGAAACCCCAGCCATTCTCAGCCAGACAAACCCAAAGGCACTGCCCAGTTTCTTCTCCCATTTAAAGTACTCTCATTTGGGGACCGCGGACAGCCGCTGAGCCGTCATCCTGGAGCTCAGCTTGCTCCCGGACGCCACTGTCTGGCTTCAGGGTCCCTGCTGGAAGCCGAGTATGGGGCCAGCGCTACCACTGGCAATGTGGCTTCCAGGGACAGAAATTACCCCAAAGGAACTAACCAATATGGTCCTCACTTGGGTAAGAGAGTATTCCTTCCTTCCCCTGGATTTATATTAGTTTCGGGTGTGGGCGGACCAGGTGCTTTCAGAATGCCCAATTAACTTCCCAAATTTCCCGGTGTTCTGGAAGGTCCGCCCCCCGACCAATCCTGTCTTTTCCCCAGGCTAGATTGACAGGGTTCTTCACTCCAAGCACCTCCCCCAGCCACCATTCTGACCTCTTTGTGGGAATGTGCCTGCCTTCCCCTGAGGTCCCACTCCTAACCGGGTACCAGAAAGGGGTAGGAGAGTTTTCCCCCGGCATCCAATAACTTGCTAGGCTTGCCCCTGCTCAGTGCAATACTTCCTCTTGTCGCCGCCTTTGCTCGGGCGGAGGAGTCTGTCGCCAGGAGCAGGACATCTCCGCCCCCAGGGAATGGGAGAGGCAGGAGCTTGGTAATGGGCACCGCATCCTGGCCCACTACCAGCAGCACCACTAAACCCCAAACTCCGCAGGGCGGCAGCTACTATCTTGTGTGCATCGCCCTTCAATTACTTACCACAACAGGACAGGAAATTACGGACCGCCACAAACGCTCTATCGCTGATCATACATGAACCCCTTACTCCCAATACCGCAGCCAGTGACTGAAACCTCCTTTGCTGAAATCGGACACACTTCTCAACTTCCCGCCTCTTTTCTAGTGGGCCCTCAGCTGAGGACTGCAACCTGACACTTCAGGGGCCCTGGAACTCTCCCAGTTACCACGAAATTGGCGCAGCCCCTCACTCGCCTATTTCGCGACACTTCGCGGGTTGTTAATCCGCTGGAGCAGAGGGTTAACATGGCCGCACCCATGCACGAATGTGCAGGAAGTGGGCGGCGCCATGTTGGAATGGTGTCGGTGCCGTACGGCAAAGGTGGTGGGAATTGAAAATGCTGGAGCTACAGAAAAGGTGTGGGAACAATGGGGGAGCAACGACAGAAACTAGGAAAGAATTCCAGGTATCTGAGGATGGCATCAGCTAAAATATGTAGAAATGGGTACGCAGAGAAAGATGCAAAGATTGGGAAGTGGAGTCGGGAAGCAGAGGAAGCCCCTTTTGTTAAGCAGATGAGAACGTCTCAACTTAAATCTGTTGTTCTACATACAACACAATACCTCATTTTCCCAATCTGAGGTGTAGTAATAATAATTTTATTGAGCACTTACTATGTATTTTTTGAGGTAGGTTATTTTAAGATTTAAAGGCATTTATTAAAAATAATTTACATATAGCATTCTTTTCTAATATTTTATTAAAAAGTTTTTTAAACTCTGTATAATCATCTTTAACATCAGAATCTTATAGTCGTTTATAAGGTCATCAAACACTTCTTCAGTCTAGGTGAGATAGTGCATTTTCGATTTTTGAAAAGTACTGTCGGTGGAAATTTTATTTCAAGTCTCGGGTTTATTTCCATAGTTTTTGAACAGTTGATTTCTTTTTCATTTTTCTTATAGGAATAGCTGTGATCCTAACAATTTGCCGTATTCTTAAATTTATTGCAGTGACACTGATTAGCAAAATTATATAGGTTTCAAGTGCACAATCCAATATACAGATGATATATATTGTGTTCACTACCCAAAGTCAAGTCTCCTTCCCTCACCTTATACTTGACCCCCCTCCGCCCCCATTTTCTGTGGAGAAGTCAGGATGGAACACTATTCTCCCCAGGAGACAGCCCTGGGAGAGGGTAAGTCAGAATGCCTTTCATGGGCTGAACTCCAGCCTGGAAAATACAATTCAAATGTCCTCCCCTGGGAACACATTCCCTGACTAGGATGAGAATACTCTGCCGCTGCTGAAGACACACCAGGTAGCAGCAGAGGGTAAGTGTTAGGGGATGAACTCTGACGGATAATTCAGAACCCCTAGATTCTCCTCTCCACCTCGTCTTGAACTTGCTCTGTTGTCTTGGGCCAGTCAGTTTCCCTCAGTTCTCTCATTTGTAAAGTAGAGGAAGACATTGAAATTCTCTTTTGGGTATTTCAGTGTTTACTGACATAAAGAAGAGAGCTTCAGCATCCATATTGATGAAATGCATGTTAGAATCCACCCAGATTTTTTAAAAATAATACCATCTAGTGTTATTACTAATTAATTAAACGAGGAGGCCGTTAGACTGAGGTGGTTCCAATGCCTTAGCAGCCTTCTTCATAAGCAAACCAAAAGCTATGCCTGTAAATGCTGCAAGCTTAAGAACTCAAAACCTAAGCACAACCCATCAGAAACAGCCAAATAAGGCAGCTGTTTAAATTATAGCCCATCAAATAATTTCCTTGCTTTGCTTCTGGGTTTTCTCTGTAAAGGTCGTGCTCCCAGTGCCTGTCAGTGGATCACTTCTAACCACTTCCCATTTGGCGCTGCTCAACTCAAATCAAAGGAACTCTTTTTTGCTCAAAGGAACTCTTAAAACTTTTAATTTGCTTCAGTTTATCTTTTAACATTACTACAGAAAATCTAGCCCTAGCTAATGCCTAATAACACTGTGGATTAATTCTCAAGGTTCATTAGCTCTTTAAAACCAGGTACAGTGGACTTAATACTTCTGGAATATCCTCCCCAACCATATGCCAGAACAATTAGTATTCATGCTTCAAAGCTGGGCTCCAAAATTTTCTTCTCTGGTTTTTGGTTGTTGTTGCTGTTTTTGTTTTTTGGTTTGTTTGTTTTTTCCAGAACTCCCAGGCATCTGTTCCTTTTTATGGGCACAGCTCTGTAGGCCTTCCCCTATCACAGCCATTGTTGCCTGGGACTAGGATTTCCAGTGTTTGTGTTCTTCTCCTCTTCAGTCTGACGGCTACGCAGGGCAAGACTGTGTCAGAATCAGCTTAGTTTTCCTGCCTTATTAGATACATATTAGATTGGCCAAAAAGTTCATTTTTTTTTCTATAAGGTGGCTCTAGTAGTGCTTAGTTATCTTTTTTTTTTTCAGTTGTCTTTAACTTCATTTGAAACAATTTTGTTAAATTGTGTTGTGACAGCTGTCGGGTCAGCGAGCACTTAAAAAACCTTATCAAAATCGGTGAAGTTTTGTGTAGTCATTTTAATATTGAAGATGGAAGAAAATAAGCAACATTTTTGGCATGTTATGCTTTGTTATTTCAAGAAAGGTAAAAACACAACTGAAACACAAAAAAAAGATTTGGGCAGCATACGAAGAAGGTGTCGTGACTGATTGAACATGGCATAAGTGGTTTGCAAAGTTCTGTGCTGGAGACTTCTCGCTGGACCAGTGGAAGGTAGTACTGATCAAATTGAGACATTAATTGAGAAAGATCAATGTTATACCATGCGGGAGATAGCTGACATACTCAAAATATACAAGTCAATCCAGTTATTGGTGAAAATGAAAAATGTGTCTTTTATTTTATGGAAAAAACCAGAAAGACTTTTTGGCCAACCCAATATCTATGTCTACTGGATCTTCCTCTGTAATGTAAAGCTCATTCATCCCTTCAGCCACACACATGTAATACAGCCATGTCTGGCAATGCAAGGGAGGAGCTCCGTCTGATGGGGACAATGCAGTGTGATCAGTGATGTGACCGAAGCATGACTGCGACAGGAAGAGGTGGCTGACTCTGTCAGGGACTGGGTGGTAGTGGTGGGGGTAGAAGGGCCTCTTAGGAATGCTTAGTGATGCAGGCGTTTGGGGGGCCTGGGGGCCCAAAGGTCCATGAACCACTGTGGGTTCTTGGTTTCGCACAAGAATTCAAACATAAGTCGACATAAAGTTTAGAGTGAAATAGAGTTAATCGGTGAAGCAGTGAGACAGAGAGAGGCTACTCCACAGGCAGAACTGCCCCTCCCTAGTGGGATTCACTTCTTTTATTAAGGCTCATTTAATCAAGGGGTAGGGCACTCGGTAGAGGGGAGGAATAGTCAGGACTTCTCCAGGAAAGACATGGAGACTTCTCAGAAGAACCCAGTTGGCCATTTTGTGTCCTTATATGGGCTTTTTGTTTCAGATCATGGCAACGTGGGGGGAGTCGTTTAGCATACTAATGTACTATGGTGAGCATATATAATGAGGCTAGGGCTCACCATGAGGTGAAATTAGTTACCGTGTTGGATCAAGCTGGTCTTCCGCCTGTTCTAAGCCATAAATCCATTGGGGGTTGGTCTTACTATATTCTTGGCAGTTCCTGTACCTCTTAAGCTGTTTTGCCATATACTCTGTCTCATTAGGACATAATTTTAGGAAGTGAGTGTTAGGAGCAGGAGTTTATCAGGAAAACAAGGTGAAGAAGGGAAGTTTCAACAGAACAAGAGGTATAAACCACTTCTCACATACCTTAGAGCAGACTGATCCACCTCCACATCTTTGTTCAATTCAGGTGGCTCCCGCTGTTGGGAATGTACATACACTCCTCTTTGGAGAGGGAAGGAATTCCTTACCAAAGATTAGGGGAGACTCATTTGCTTTGTAAGGCCCTAACTTAATAGTTCTTTTACATACCTAATATAATCCAGGGGTCCACAATCTACAGCCCTAGGGAAAATCTCGCCTGCTGTTTTGATAAAAGTGCCTGCTCGTTCATTTACATATTGTCTCTTCTTGCTTTTGTGCTATGACAACAGATTTAGGGTCATTCAGTGTGTCAATTTTCATTAATTGTTCACCTCCAATCATTTTTAGACAGCATTTCCTCATTCATTGCTGATAACTTTTAATTTATTTTTTACTGCACCAGATAGATGGCTTTCAGCAGTCATTTCTACTGTTCCGGCATACCAATAGTCCTGACTATTCCAGGTGTGGCACTTATTATGAGTTCTCCAAGAGGTGTGAGGAACTCAATTTAACCATAACCCACAACTGTTTTATCCTAAAAAGTGCAGATGTGCAGATTTTCCACACCTCTGGACAGTGATGATCATCCTATGCATACTGCTGGACCTCTGCTTGATAGTAAATTATTGATGGAAATGGCTTTCCCATTGCATTTTCTTTCCAAGTTACTTGGTAATGAGGGCATAATATAGGAGCTGATTTTTCAATACATGCACACATTCATGCAAAGTCCATTCTCAATGTCTATACCTTTTAATTCTCTGAAATGAGGATGTCAGGAAGGCAGGCACTTGAATGGGAAATATTTGCAGACGGCATTTAATTACTTATTTGTTGAGAACCCATCATTATGCTAGATGAGTATCTAGGTGGGATATATATTGAACAGTATTAACCATAACTAGACAAGTCTTGCTTACTGACTCATATGTTTATTCTGAGGAACACATGAGGTAATGTAGTGCATTTGCTGTGAAAAATATAAAAGATGACATACATGCCAAATACCATTACCTTAAATTACAAAACTATTTTTGTTCTCACATCACTGTAGTGTAACAAGCACATTTTAAAACAGTACCACTGCATTTTTTATCTGACACACGGGTAAAAAAATTTTAAATATGCAGCGGAAAATAGGCTTCCTGTGTGAACCCATATTGACTCATAATACCTTCTGGAAAGCATGCTTAAGAATGGTTGTGAGGCCAAGTCTTGTTAACTCCAAAAGAGCTCAGTGATCCTTTAGCACTGTCTGCTTTTGGGTAAGAACAGAGAATTGTGCCACGTGTTGCAGTACTTTCGATATCCCAGATAGAGGTGTTTGCATCTAAGTGCTTTGAAAGAGATAAAATGGAGTGACTGTTCAGAAAATCACTCTCATTCAACTTCAGTCACAATTCATCTTCAGTCTCTGAAAAAATGTCAAGTAAAAGGAACA